CCCGGACCTCCATGTGCCATGCCGGTGCCCCCCAGTTCTTGTGGCCTCAGGCAGTCCGCTACGCCGCGCACCAGCTGAACCTATGGCCTAGTGACGCACGGCCACGGGTGACGCCGATCTTCCTTTGGACAGGTTTTCCGGGCGTAGCAGCTGACTACCGCGTCTGGGGTTGTCTGGCTCACGTTCGCGCCCCTGGCGCAAACAAGTTGTCTGCGCGCACCCGTGCCCTGCGTCTTTCTTGGCTTCCCACTCGACGCCTCACGCTGGGTGTTCTACGACCCTGTTACCTACCAGTTCTTCAGTTCCTAGGACGTCACTTTCGACGAGTCGGTCAGTTACTACAGGAGTCGCCCCCACCGAGGTTCTGAGACCTTTTCCCCCCCGCTCTTCCTCACCACTGACCCCCCCCAGTCGCCTCGGTAGCCCCCCCCCCCCTTCGCGTCTTGCCCCGTCAGGTGTGTCGCACGTCACTCCGCAGTCGTCTCCCCCGCAGCGTCCAGTCTCTGTCATGTCTGGGGGTGCGGGAGGTGCAGCAGTAGGGGGTGAGGGTACTGGGGCTGCTGGAGCTGGTGGCTCCGGCTCTGGGGGTGCTGGGGTGTGGATGGGGAGGTCCCTCCAGTGGAGGACACTGCTGCCTCGAGTCGGCAGCCTCGCCCCGCCTCACCCCCTGGCTTCCGTTACTCCCACAGTTCCCTCCCCGCTCGCCTCCGCAGCCGGTCGCTGAGGAGTCTGGGGGTGTTCCTGCTAGAGGTACTGGAGGCCCTGGGGGTGTTGTCGGTGGAGGTTCTGGTTCTGGGGGTGCTGGAGCTGGAGGCGCTGCCACCTTGGCGAAAACACAGCGCACTGTCCATTTCCTGACACGAGAGCAGCGTCTGGTTCGTTTGGAGAGGGAGGAGCGTGAGCGGTTTGAGAGGGCACAGCAGCAGCAGCAGCAGCAGCAGTCTCTGTTGGAGCGTCAGGAGAGAGTAGAGGAGGAGATACGCAGCAGTAGCAGCAGCTTCAGCAGCAGCTGCAGCAGTCTCGGTCGGAGCGTCAGGAGAGAGTAGAGGGGGAGTCACAGCCGAGTCAAGAGAGAGTAGAGGAGGAGTCACAGCAGCAGCAGCAGCAGCAGTCCAGAGCAGCGAGGGGCGGCAGCAGCCTCAGTCGGAGTCAGGATAGAGTAGAGGAGGAGTCACGGCAGCAGCAGCAGCCTCAGTCGGAGCGTCAGGAGAGAGTAGAGGAGTAGTCACGACGGCCGCAGCAGGTACAGTTGCAGCCACAGCAGGAGATTGTAGAGCAGGAGTCCCGCCCGCAGCAGCAGATGTTGTTGCAGCCACAGCAGGAGAGAGTAGAGGAGGAGAGCCACAGGAGCTGCAGCAGGGGCAGGTACCGCAGCAGCTGTCGACAGAGGAGGTGGACCAGCAGCGACTGAGAGACCTGCCCGACTCAGCACCTGCACGCTTTGTTCGTGGTCCCCAACCGTCCCTTCCTCTTCCCCCTTTCGAGTCCCTTTCCTCGTCCCAGTGGACTCGTCGTTCTCCTGTCAGTCGTGCTATGTCCCCAGAGCCTCGTCGGTCCCGTTACCGTGCCGACCGCCCGTTTCACCTTGTTCTTCGCTCTCGTGTTCCGTCTCCACCTGTCCTTCTACAGCCTCCTGAGTCGTCCTTCACTGTGCTTCACGACCCGTTGTACGACTACCTCCGTGCCTCCCATCCTGTCGTCTCCCGTGTTTTGTCCGCGTTGGTCACTCACCCGACTGCACCCATGTCGTCTGTCTCAGCACTTGTTACCACTGTCGCTGGCTTTGCCTCTTCCCACCGCCTTGACTACACCGCTCACTTGGTGAGTGGCCCTCCTCATTCTCCGTCCTCTAGGGGTGCTCCTGTCTTTTCATTGGAGGTCCTGGAGGAGAGGCAGTTCGAGCTTGGTTTCCTTGCGGCCGCTGTTCCTCATCTCTGCGCCATGCTGCTTGCCCCTGAGGGGGATCCAGACGCCCTTGATATCCCGATCCCTTGCACTCACGCTGAGGCGGTCTCGGGACCCTGGGCTTCGTACTGGATAGCAGCTGAGGAGGCAGAGAGAGATGGCATTATAGGTCCACAGGCACCTATGTCGACGCCGTCTCTCCACCTGGGACGAACGTTGTTAGTGGCATGTGGCTCTACAAGGTGAAGCAGCCGTCGGGAGCACCACCGATGTTCAAGGCGCGCTACGTGGCGAGAGGCTTCAGTCAGCGAGAGGGGGTAGACTTCTTTCAGACCTTCGCTCCCACCCCGAAGATGACCACTCTTCGGGTGTTGCTGCATATTGCGGCACAGCGCGACTACGAGTTGCACTCCTTGGACTTCTCTACCGCGTTTCTTCAGGGGAGTCTGCACGAGCAGATCTGGCTGCGTCGTCCGCCTGGCTTCACTGGCTCTTTCCCACCTGGGACCCAGTGGCAGCTGCGTCGACTGGTCTACGGCCTGCGACAGGCTCCTCGTGAGTGGCACGACACACTTCGCACAACACTTGCAGAGCTTGACTTCTTTCCGTTGTTTGCTGACCCGTCGTTGTTCGTCTGTCGTGGCTCGGCCGTGTTCTTTGTTCTGGTCTACGTTGACGACCTGGTCTTCGCCACTCCCGACCGACGCGCACTGGCCTCCGTGAAGGAGGAACTGCAGAGGAGACACACTTGCACTGACCTTGGTGAGCTGCAGCGCTACCTTGGCTTGCAGATCACCAGGGACAGGGCAGCTCGCACCATTACGCTGACGCAGTCGCATATGGTCGAGCAGATCCTCACACGCGGTTTCGCTTCCCGTTCTCCAAGGTACAGCCCACCCCTCTTGCTGTGGATCATGGGCTCACGGCTCCACCTTCGGACGAGCCTTTTGAGTCCAGTGGTCCATATCCTGAGCTGGTGGGTTGTCTCATGTACCTGATGACCTGTACTCGCCCAGACCTAACTTACCCTCTTAGCGTTCTTGCGCGCTTTGTTGCGCCTGGGAGACACCGACCTTCCCACTGGTACGCTACTAAGAGGGTAGCGAAGTATGTGGCGAGTACATAAGGCATGGGACTTGTCCTTGGAGGGAAGCAGCCAGTTACACTTACAGGTTTCTCGGACTCGTCGTGGGCCGACGACGCTGAGTCGCTGCGGTCTACACAGGGTTACTGCTTCAGCCTTGGGACCGGAGCTGTTTCGTGGAGGTCGACTCGGGCGTCGTCCGTCTCTAGTTCCAGCTGTGAGGCAGAGGTGTACGCTGCGGCCATGGCCCCAGGAGCTTCGCTGGCTGTCTTTCCTTCTCACCGACCTTGGTGAGCGGCCTCGCTCTCCCCAGTCTTGTTCGCTGACAACAGGTCTGCTATCCTGTTGTGCGAGGAGCCCCGACTGGTTGGGAAGGCAAAGCACATCCAGCTTCGTTCCTTCCTTCTGCGAGAGATGCAGCAGCGTGGCCAGGCACTCGTGCGACGTGTGGTCTCTCAGGCCAACACGGCAGATATTTTCACCAAGGCGCTGCCGCCTTGTGACCACCAGCGTTTCTGCACCCAGCTAGGCCTTGTGCCTACCGGCCCTCACTTGCTTGCGTAGAAATGCTTTGTCTTGTACTCTTGCGTCTTACTATATATCCGATATATGTGCTTGTGGACAGGCCTTGTGGCCCTTTGCTTCTGTAGAGATGCTTGTCATGCATGTCGTGTACTCTTGCATGTTTTATATCTGCTATATCCTTGCATGTGGACTGGCCTTGTGGCCTCTTGCTTGTTCTCGGACTGTGTTGTGACCTTGAGCTCCACCCCGAGAGTTGCTTTGTTCTTGTTAACTGGTCTTGTGACCGTTGCTTGTTCTTGCTGATTGATCCTGTGACCCTTGCTCTTGGGTTGTGTGTTGCTCTCCACAGGACTACCGTCACCAAGACTATGGGGGTGTGTCAAACTATAGTTGTTATAGTTTGTATTGTTTAGTCTAGGTGGTGTATACATTGGTTAGTGCTCGGGTTAGGTTTGCTATATCTACCCTTGTACTTGCTCATTCTAATCATTACATTCTCATAACTCAAACACTGGCGTCTGCTGCGACGGTACCGGCCCCTACTGCTGCACCTGTGGCTCCGCCTCTGCCCTCTCCTGCTGCGACTGCAGCTGCACCCGCTGCTTCGACCGGGACTCCTGCGCTACCCACTCCTGCTGCGGCCGCGACTCCTCCTCTACTCTCTCCTGCTATGTGTGTAACTGTACCTGTTGCTGCGGGTGGGACTCCTGCGCTACCCTCTCCTGGTGCGGCCGGGACTGCTCCTCTACTCTCTCCTGCTGTGTCTGTAACTGCACCTGCTGCTGCGGGTGGGACTCCTGCTCTACCCTCTCCTGGTGCGGTCGTGACTCCTCCTCTACCCTCTCCTGCTGTGGCTGTGACTCCCCCTCTACCCTCTCCTGCTGCGGCTGTGACTCCCCCTCTACTCTCTCCTGCTGCTGTTGCTGCTGCTGCTGCTACTGTGCCCTCTCAAACCGCTCACGGTCCTCCCTCTCCAACTGTCGCGATATATGTTTATATATGTTTATAACTGCCTATAACTTTAGCTCCAGTGTAGTTATGATTCTTTGTTGTTGGTGATGCACCTTTGCTAGTTTGCTATATGTACCTTGTATGCCATAGTGAACAACACACATTCTCACTTTCTCTTGACCACTATTCTCTCGACACCCGCTTGGCCTAGGCTTCTAAGCCTAGGCCCTAAACCCGGTTCCTAGTTAGCTTAGTATTGTGACATGGTATAGAGCGATTAAGTTCCTGACCTAAGTTAATGGGCCCACCCATTCGTGGCACGGCGCTCGCTGCGACGGGCGTGGCAGCGAGCCGGCCGCGTTTCCCTCATCGCCAGCCCATCGATTTTTCCCTTGTCGCCTGCCCGTCGCCAACCCGTCGCGTTTTCCCCCCGTCGCCAGCCCGTCGCGTTTCCCCCGTCGCCAGCCCGTCGCGTTTCCCCCGTCACCAGCCCGTCGCGTTTTCCTCGTCGTCAGCCCGTCGCATTTCACCACCCTCACCAGCTCTGCCCGCGCCTACGCCTGCTGCCGAGTTTGCGCAAGAGAGGGGAAGGGGGGGGGGACGGCATCGGGAATGAAGGGGACGGCATCGGGAATGAAGGGGATAGCGACGGTGGCCGTCGCCGCGGCCCTTTCCCCCCCGTCCCGTTTTCTTCCTTCCCATCGCCTCGCTCCGCCCGTCGCATTCCCCCGGCCCCTTGCTTGTCACCCCACCCCGTCGCGACTATTCGCGTATGCAGCGGCGGTCGCTGTGGGTGGGAGAGGGAGGAGGGGAAGGGATTGGCGGCGGAACGCTGTGGGGGGGAGAGGGAAAGGGGGAAGGGAGTGGCGGCGGAATGATGTGGGGGAGAGAGGAAAAGGGGGAAGGGAGTGGCGGCGGAATTGCACCATCGCCAGCCGCCAGCACCAGGCACCAGCACCAGCGCCAGCCGCCAAGACCAGGCACCAGCTCCAGCGCCAGCCACGAGCACCAGGCACCAGCGCCAGCCGCCAGCACCAGGCACCAGCACCAGCGCCAGCCGCCAGCACCAGGCACCAGCACCAGCGCCAGCCGCTAGCACCAGGCACCAGCACCAGCGCCAGCCACCACCACCAGGCACCAAGGCCAGCCGCCAGCACCAGGCACCAGCACCAGCGCCAGCACCAGGCACCAGCACCAGCGCCAGCCGCCAGCACCAGGCACCGGCACCAGCGCCAGCCACCAGCACCAGGCGCCAGCGCCAGCCGCCAGCACCAGGCACCAGCACCAGCGCCAGCCGCCAGCACCAAGCACCAGCACCAGCGCCAGCCGCCAGCACCAAGCACCAGCTCCAGCGCCAGCCACCAGCACTAGGCACCAGCACCAGCGCCAGCCGCTAGCACCAGGCACCAGCAACAGTGCCAGCCGCCAGCACCAGGCACCAGCTCCAGCGCCAGCCGCCAGCACCAGGCACCAGCACCAGCGCCAGCCGCCAGCACCAGGCACTAGCTCCAGCGCCAGCCGCCAGCACCAGGCACCCGTGACCAGCAGCCCCACCTGTGACCAGCAGCCCACTTGTGACCAGCAGCCCCACCTGTGACCAGCAGCCCCACCTGTGACCAGTAGCCCCATCTGTGACCAGCAGCCCGACATGTGACCAGTAGCCCCACCTGTGACCAGCAGCCCCACATATGACCAGCAGCCCCACATGTGACCAGCAGCCCCACCTGTGACCAGCAGCCCCACCCGTGACCAGCAGCCTCACCCGTGACCAGCAGCCCCACCTATGACCAGCAGCCCCACCTGTGAAGAATTGGACAAGGACCATCGTGGGTGGGGAGGGGTCTGGAGGAAGAAAAGGGGGAGGGAGTGCGGTTCCAGGGGGCGGTTGAAATGAGGGGTGAGATTACAGGGGGTGGTTGATTGGGGGTGGGAATGTGGGGGTTAGTAAGAGGGGACGCTGCGGCCACCCCCCCACCTCCACTCCTCATCCCCCACTCAACCCCCCCCTGTGTAAAAGGGGGTTAGTAAGAGGGGACGTCGCGGCCACCAACGTGAGCCAGACAACCTTAGACGCGGAAGTCAGCTGCTACACCCTGTAAACCTGACCAGAGAGAGACCGGCGTCACCCGTGGCCGTGCATCACTGGGCCACA